AAAGTCGGTCACAAAACATTAACTTTACTATTTGAATAATAAAATGTAATCTTTTGACTGTTATGGGCGCATATATGCGTCTGGCGAAAATTATCAGTGTGGCCTATGGACGCATATCATCGGCGGGCCACATGCCGTTCACGTGAAACGCTGCAACTTAGAAAAGCTCGCAATCAAAGGGTTAAAAAGAAAACGATGAAGATAATGTTATCTACGTTAAAGTTAATGCCAGGAAACAATTATTTAATAGTACATAAGAATTGTTTTTATTTTCCGTGAAAATGTGAAATGAAACGATAGAGTCTTCTCGTTTTATTCCTTCCTTTTATCTCTCTCACATGTAAGCAAAGAGAAATTTACTACTCGGAAAAGATAAAAGTCCCATAATCGTCCGATACGCATACGTTGAACTATGCTACTGCATTTCACGTGAAGAAAACATTAATGACTTTATTTTAAATCTTTTACTAAAGGTATTTAAATAGTTGTTAAATAATAATCAATATTCTAAAATGCTGTATAACTTTTAAGTAACATGTTTTAAATATCTATGAAGGTGAGTTTAAAAGTTTTAAACTTTAATAAAAAACTTTTATTTAAAAAAGAAAGAAATTAAAAGTCTGACGGAAACAAAATTGTTTCTACGTATTTAAAACTTTTCAACTCACCCATGATTTTAACTATAGATTTGCTTTTTTTTTTTTTATATAAATACAAAATTAATTCTAATTTTAACAAACTCGTCTCATATTTTTTGAGATATAAGTTATACTTTATATTATCTTTAAGCAAATAAAACGAAATTGGATTATAAAATGGTTAAACCACTTGAACTATTTTACATTACACGTAAAATATATTGAAAATAAAAATCAATGAATGAAACTTATAATTATGGTCGTAAATATGTAGTTGTTAATAACGTACACGTGTTTTCTAATAAACTACTATATCTTATAAAATGACTCTTTTAAATATTATTAAAAACAAAATAAAAAAAGGCCATAAAAGAAAAATATGATCGATATGCAATTCTCGTTTCCGTCGTATGGTTTATCACACGAATTGATAATTTTCGGCGCGTTTACATGATACTAATCGGATTGGAATCCAGCGATCGACACTTGGGATGTGTCACGAATAACGAATAGCGCTGTACCCAACGGTATCTTGATAACAAGCCATACGCGACATACCAATTGACAATTGCAATTGATTACAAAATAATAAAATATATCTAACAAGAGAAACGGAACAATAACAATAAAAATCCATAAACAATTAAAATTCCAGAGTGTTAATTAAGGTGAAAGAAAATAACTGGAATTATTTCGTGTAGCAACGGAATAAATAAATATTTTAAGTGGATCAACCGAACCTGCTAATAATTCGAGCGCATCGACCGCTACGAAACGATCTTTCTTTTTCCTCTTCTTCCTCTCTTCTTTCCCTTACTCCCTTTTTCTGTATACCACAGGTACACCACAGATTTTTATATTAGTCACTCGATAAGATTGCTTTTTTAATGAGAATTTCGACACGATAGAAACTTTAATGTGAACACGTACTCTAATGAGTAAAACTTTAAATCAAGGTCTTCGAGAAGCTTTCGTAACCTCAAGAGGAAGACGAAGAAGGCAAAGACGAAGATTGCATGTGTTACATGAAATTTCTTATGTAGAGAGCCGCGTCACCGTTAAAAGTTACACATGTATACTAAACGATTGTATACGTATACAATATGTTACGTGTAATGTAAAACGTATAAATACGTATAACTCTATACACGAATCACATGGTCTGGATTTTTTAAGAACAGACGTTTACTGAAAGAATTTTAATTACATATATATATATATACAAGTAAATATTATAAATTACCTTTCTCTTATAGAGTGATGAATAATCTAAAGGTAGATACTTCCTTCGAGGATCAACGTTGACCAGAAAATATAAATAAGAGTCCTTAGAAGATTTACATACACGTTAGGATACACAGTGATTTATCTTAGACACGCGGGCGTCGTTTCGTTGCGTTGACGACACATACGCGTGTATTCTGTTCCTTCCTTAAGTTTTTTCTATAAACGAGAGAGAGAGAGAGAGAGAGAGAGAGAGAGAGAGAGAGAGAGAAAGAGAAAGAGAATGAAAGAGAGATGAAAAAACACAAGGTTAAACGAACGAATTCTTATTGTTGTCGCTGTCAAATAAAAAGACAAACGAAGTGACAAACGAAAAAATGATACCGGAGCCGCCGCCTGTTACGTATTAAGTCTTTACAGATATCGAGAAAAAACCGTTTAGAATGAATTAGATTGAAGGTGGTCAAAGAACATACTGGTACTGGAATCGAACGGTACGGCGACTTTTACGGAAGATACACTCATTTGGTGACGACGGTGACGCGACGATAACGATAACGATGACGATAAGGATAACGATGACGATGATGATGACGATGACGATAATAAGGACGATACCAAATTTAAGAATTGTTTTACACACTCATTCGCGCGTGTCATCAAAATTGACAACGCGCCGATCGCACACCACCGGCGTACAGTCAGGTCTACTTCTTCTGTACAGTTCCTCTCTCTTTTTCTCTTTCTATAGTTATCTCTATCTCACTTCTCCCGAGAAACGTGAGAATTCGATCGTCGCAGCAACCATCGGCCATCGCCCGTCGCCGACGAACTTCACACTGCGTTACATCGTTCCGATACTCTTCTCTCATTGGTTCCGACCTTAGCAAATCCATGTCCGTCGCACGGGTACCAACAACCAATCGCAACGCTTCCTATTCGATATTTGCGAAAAGCTTTATTATTTGTTTATTTTTTTATTATTAATATTTTCTCGATTAAATAAAAAGAATAGTTACCTTTGATTGATATTTAACAATAAATTATCGTTGGTTTTTTATTGCCATTTATTATTCTATTATCTAATTATAAGAATCAGAACGTCCATTATTAAATTTACACTACAAGCCTGGAATTGTTGATTAGTCATTTATTTTACGATTAATATTTCTTATCTTACAAAAATAAAAGTACTTACTTTACTTATTTTTTTCAATTGTTATTTAATTTACGATGATTGTATGAATTTCATTGCTGTTCATTTTTCTGTGTAGATTATTGGAAGATCCATAATCAAATGTCCACCGAAAGTCTTAAATTTTTAATTATTCGATTATTATTTAACGATTAATACTTCTTAGATTCAATAAAAATACATTTGATATTTAATGTTAAATGGTTGCAGAATTTAATCCTTGTCAACGATTTCTTGCAATAAACTTCGATTATTTAATTTATGATAAATTTGAAATGATTATTCATTTATAACTTCACGATTAATTTTGATTTTAATATTATTTCATTTTGAATAATTGAATAATTGAATATCTGTCAACCATTTCATGCAGCGAATTGACAGATAAGAAGTCTAAAAAAAGAATTATTTAATTGAATTAAATTTAAAAAAGACTATTTTTTAAATTAACTCACCTTCAACAGTCGCTTATAATTGAAGACATTAAATAATTGAATAATAACTTAATTTCTTCCTAAATGATCTAACGCGGCGATTATTGCGCTAATTAATTATCCAATCACAGGCGTCGATAAGATGCGATACTTCCTAGCCAATTATCTTTCTTCTTTGTTTGTTTTCAAGCCAATAAAAAAAACTTGCATTGACGGACTGTTAAGGTGGCGACATCTGTCCTTCAGTGGAACTACATTTAGTACGGAGTGCTGCAAGCGGCAAAGTCGAAAGATCGTGAACGTTATTTATTTTTCTGAATTATTTGTAATTATTTCATATAAAAAGGTATATTTAATTAAATATTTACAACTATTAACTTGTATAAGTATTGTGAGAATATAATTTTATGTTTTTTTTTATACTGAAACACTTTTATATCGTTGTTAAAGATTTTTCAAATTAAGTCGTTTAAAAATGTTTACAAAAATGACTACCGAAAAAAAATGCCTATGAGTTTTTATTTTAAAATAATTTAATAAATTATTTTTGTATTATTATATTTTTTTTATGAATATAATTTCTTTTTGAATTGTAACTTTTAATTTTTTTAATCATTTAGGAATTGTGAATGATCTAGAAAAAATGATTACAAGTTGCATGGATAATAAATAATAGGAAGGGTATAATTTGGCAAATATATATGTATGTATTATTTGTTTTCAAATAATTTTATAATAATAGAAATAATATTAAGATAATTTTGAAACTGATAGTTTACTAATTTATATTTTTATTTATTCTTACGTAAGCCGTTTATTGCGTTCAAAAGTTAAAAGTGACGTTAGATTTTGCATAAGAAGCATAAGATTGATTTATATTAATTATGATAAATATCAACTATGTGCTTTGAAGTTATATGCATTACAGATAGAAGGGATAGTGTAATGTATATATCTATTAATCCTTTCGTTACTAGCGACCATTTAAGGGTCGTCCATTAAAATCCCCGCCGTATGAACCACTGACCCATATGAGGGTCGTAATATTCGGCAATACGTATGTATTAGCAAATTTATAAGGAGCGATATTCGCGCTAAAGGATGCCCTAACGAAAGATTTAATCATACATAGGTAGAGGAAGATACATACATACACGTATGTGTATATATATGCATATATATATATACTTTATTGGTCCAGCTGTGTAACTACATAGAACTATATATATATATATATATATATAAAACTTTACAAAATGCTTCGTGTATTGTAACAGGAGACCTTGCAAGCTTTTTTTTATTTACAAGGTTATGAAATAATGAATTGTTTTCTAAATCGATTTACGTGAAATTGCGATACATAATACATACATACTCGTATATCGTATTCTATATCGATATCAATTATTGTTTCGTAATTATCGATGTTTAAAGATGAAAATTGGTTTATTTCTAAATCTATAATCGTGATTGTACAAGTTAGAGAAGTTTTTTTTGTTTTTTTTTTTATTTATTTTTTTATTTATTTATTCATACGATTCGATAGAGACGACGTTTTGAGATCATAATGTAATTATATTTAGATTATAAATGTTTTTATAATGTCGATTAATGTGTTTTGAATTAATTAGGATAATTCTTTTTCTTATTTTCTTTTCTTTTAATTAAGCGAGTCGAAATTATAACGGAACAAGCTGATTTACACTATTTGTATCATAGTTCACTAATTATAGAAGTTGTGAAATTTTTTTTTTACATTTTTTTATTTGTAGTTTTTTTTTATATACAAGGTAAGATAAAAGTCGCTTTCCTCGTTTGAAAATAAGTTATTATAAATTCTATATTTCTGTTATGTTTTTTTGTAGTTTTTATTGTAGTGAAAAAATTCATTTTTCCTCGGTTAACGTGTGCAGCTCATTTCTCAAATAATTTCATTCAAGATGCACAAAAACATTTAAGAACAATTTTGTTGCTATAGTAATCGCATAAAATGCTAAACCAAAATACCGGCTGTTTGTATAACTGTAACTGCACTTCATTGCATGAACAAATTACTTGTATAATTGAATTTCTGGTTAAAGTGACTTTTATCTCACTTAGTATATTTAATGTCTCATCGCATAACGCATAGAACTCATCGTTCTAAGAATTAATTTGCTAAATTGATCATCCGTATATTTTTTGTTTTCTTTATTTCTTATTCGTATTATATAAATATCTGTTATATTTCTTTTTTATTTTTTTTTAATATCAATGAAACAATTTTTAACATATTTCTTTCATAAACATTATAGAATTATTTAGTATGCCAATGATAACGAATTAGACAAATTGAACATTCAACATATATCTCCTCGTGTGTGTTCACTTATACAATTAAATTTTCGTATTACACATAGAAAAACGTTCACCCTTTATTCTTTTTTTTCCTTTTATTTTGTTGGAAAACTTACGTATATTAGTATATCTGTGTATGTGTATGTGTATGTGTATGTGTGTATGTGTGTCTGTGTATGTGTATGTGTGTGGCTTACGTAAAATATTTATTTTCATTCGATAATGACATACACATGATACGCGGGAGAAAGTATTAGAATAGCAGATATGTGTTTACATATTCCCCCGATAATGTTTATAAATTGTCAAGTGCAATGTAATTTTTAGTCCTTTCGTTATTAGCGATTCATATACGAGATACGAAAGGGTTAATGTAAAAAGAAGAAGAAGAAGAAAAAAGGGAATACAGGTTAGCATGATTTTGTAATTCATATTTACAGCGTAAGATTATTGTTTTTAGCGAAATGATTGATATCGAGAATTCGTAACAACGATTTCTCGTAATAATTATACGTGAAATAATGTATTTAAAATTTAATTAGAAAATAGCACATATGTCTATACATATATATATATAAGTAATTGTGTATATATATGTATATATTGCAATTATTGACTTCAAACCGTATGAATATGACTGAATATCGAAAAACCCGTAACACATCTGGTATCCATTAGAAACTGGCAGTATTCCAACGATTCACCCTACTAAATCATATTTTTGACATATCCTGCGTAAATCGAGGAAAGCTCTGCTGCGCGCTATCGTACAATATTAATTCAATATTAATTAGAAGAAGAATACATTAAATAAAAAAAGTAAAAAAGAGCTTTACGTTTATGTATATCCAAAACAGCTGCCTCTTTCGATTTATGTTGATGCACCACGTATTTCTCCTATTATTTGTTATCTTGATGATAATTTATTATACACACAACGCAATATTCTGTATAATTTTATCAACGAAAAAACGTATCGTAAATAGTAACAGCATCAAATACAAGGTGGACCAAAAGTTTCTACGTGGATCAAAAGTTTTTACATGGTTTTGAAATTTGTTTGAGAACTTTTGAGTCTATCTAAAAACTTTTGGGCCCACTTTCTAATATACATACATATACATATATAATATTCAGGTACTAATTATTATATTCTAGATCAGCAAAAAACGTAATAAATTTTACAAACGATCGATCAGACGAATCAAATTGACCTTCAATAATAATTTTTGAGGAGGATTTTTTTTTTAATTATCTTATAATCGTTATTATCAATTTCCTTTTAAGAAATGCACGTACATGCTACGAAGTGCGTTTAAAAGTTTTCCTTTTTTTTCAAATCTTTTCTTTGCCCTTTTTAATTTTTTTTTTTTTTTTTCAATCTTTTCATCGTCGGAGCGAGAAGAAAATTTCTCATCAACGTTCAGTCTTAACTATATATATTTTCTTTATTTTCTTCTTCATAAATCATTCACCATCATCATCTTGTTCTCATATTGTGCATATTTAATATATTATAATACTGCAAACGTGTGTACACATAATCTAAGTACGCGTACGCGAGGTTTTTCAAACGCGAATGAGAATATTTAACAATTTTGTGGGATGTATATTTTATTGTGTGTGTGTGTAAAATTTTTTTTTCTTTTTTCTTTTTTTTCTTTCTTAGAGACCAGCTCCGAATATAGATCATTGTATATTTTCTATTATTTTATACGTAACAGTATAACGTAACATAATACGCTTTTGCTTGTTGCACTGCACTGCTTCTCTCCGTGCATTTGATATCTAATAGCGAAACATTTGGGAAACGTATTGTATTTACGCACGGATAGGATTAGGAAGAAATCGATCCATCGAACTTTGCCTGGACATTAACACCAAACCTACCATGTGAGGTCAAATGACCGCGTTCTGTTGTAATTTGTAAAAATGCGGTAAAAACAGATAGAATATACATTATTCATTTGTAAATAAAAAAAAATATACTGTTCACTATCCAATTGGCTAAAATCTCATTCTATAGCGATCATTTGATCGCTCACGGTAGGAATAGGTATAGATGAAATGTCGATAGGTTTAGTGTTAAACACGATATGTGTTTTGTACATGACATACAGGGTATCAGAGATTCTTTTTCGGTCGAAACTATGTCAGCGTGTTTCATGCACGAAAATAAAAAACAAATCTAATTATTCGATCATTTTATTACGGTCAATGGAATCGTTCTTCACCTTTTCGCAGTTGTATATGTCTGTGATAGTATAACTAACGTCGTTAACGGGAATAAATATTTTAGTCTAATTTATACAGGATGGGAACAAAAGTTCGTAGATTATTTTAAATATTAATGAATTTCTTTTGTTTTAATACTCCATTAGATAATTTTCAAGTAAAACTACAAGTTTAAATGCAAGTCTATAAAGTCGATCTTTAAAATCGTTAGAGAACTTTTGGCCCACTCTGTACTTCGTGTTATTACATAACTACGGTATTCGATTATATATGTGTATGTAAATCGACTCATTACGAACTCGATTCACTTCGCTCGTTCGAGATATAAGTAAATACAAATAATAAGATAAGTTCGTTTACATCCAATGTTTAATTAACCAGAGATACACTTGCGTGCGTGGGTTGAGTTCTTAATAAGAGAAGAGAGAATATTTTATTTTTTTTAATTTTTATTTTTTATCTTCCTTATTTTTTATCACGACGACAAAGACAAAGTCCACGGGAAGATCGAATAGCACGTTTCCTTTTGTTTTTGTTTTTTTACTTCGAAATATTAATTATCCTACCATAGTTTCCATTTTGTTTGTTTGTTTGTTTGTTTAAGTCTTACAATTATCTAACTTATGTTTTATTTTTATAGGATATTTGATTAATGTGTTTTTTAATTTAGGAATTATTTTTGATTATCCTTATTTTGGAGTTATTCCTGGAAAACGTCGATCGATCCGTTTTCTCTACATATACACGTACATATTTCGTTTAAACGATACATACATATACACATACACACACGAGCTCAACGATTATGTAAACACATTTGGTCTTTCGTTAACGTAACATCCACGCATACGAAATAGCCGACATCGACGTGCCTTAATAGAAAATCGATTTTAAGCTCCTTTTTAATGATTGAAAAGCCAGACAGCCCTAGGTATTAATAGATTTATTTTTTGACCGAGCATTCCTTTCGTAACTGAACGTTTCTTCACAAATGATGAAGTGTTTCAATCTAGATTCAATTCTGACATAAAACTTTGCCTAAATTCCTATGAATTCTTCGAATTTCACAAACTTTCCACCAATGTAATCGTGTTTCAAAATTGTTAAGGCATAAAATATAGTCTGTCACTTATGATATTTTGTTTAAAAGCCTAAATTACGTAGATTACTAGCAAGGAATGTTCCTTTAAACACTGGTAGTAATTTGTTCGATAACAGTAACGTCACGATAACGCCTAGGTCTCGTCCTATAAGGATCCTGTTGATGCGGATGACTCAAACCTTCTGGTACACTCTTGCTTGGCCTAAGCGGAGTATGAAATTGTGGTTGGTAATAATGTTCGGCAGTGTGTATGCTTTCGCTTTCCCTCTCGTGCATGTTCTCTTCGACGTCGAGTGGTACGTGTAGGGATTGAGATTTGGGTAACCTTGGTCTTGGTGGTGGTGGACAGGCACAGGGCGGTGGTACGGCACCAAGACTGGATAAACGTGGCCCGGGTAAAACTGGTGATGTCGGTTGTCGACCCCAACCAACCAAGAAGAGCAACGCGGCGCCGCACAAGGAACTCAACGTGCACGCATAGTAGCCTACCCTTGGGCTGCTAGCATTCATGTAACCTACGTGATAACGCAAATTTAGTAGACCCACCGAGACGGTACTTAACCTCCTGCGATACTTCTTCTTATATCTCAAGTTTTACTCGTTAAGAGACCTTCCCTCTCTTACTCTCTTTTTTTTCTTTTTTTTGTTTCGCTCACATTAACAACCAACAACTTTGTCATCGGTGCTGAATATTTCGTCTATTTACGTCTCTCACTTGGCAAACGTAACATCTAAATTCTTTCTCTTTCCATACTATTATCAACTTTTTTTTTCTCATAATTTTAGAATTTTTATTATTAATATTAGGCTAAAAACAAATGAAAATCAGATTGTCGTTGTTGTTTTTCAGGATTGATTTAAATCTTTATTATTTCAATTAAATAATGGAACTGTTCATTCCTACATCACAATTTTGATTTTCTTCATTATCTGACAAGGACCTTCTCCAATTATTATTATTATCTCTCGAGTCGTGTTAACATTTACTTACCAGTAAGAGGAACTCCGAGTAGGATGGGTAAAGCTTCCGCTGCTTGAACGAGAGCCCAAGATCTCGCGAAATGTCTTGCCCTTACTCTTTCGAGAGCCAACATCTTGAGGGAGTAAAGGGCACCACCGAGAGAAGCTCCATAAAGGCCTGATGCCAACACCAATCCGTGATAACCTTGCACACTACCAAGCGCCACCTGAGCTACGGCTTCAAACAAATATACAACCTAAATCGAGATCGTTCATCGATCATTTCATCTGTTACACAATTTATTAATCATTCATTTATTTTATTTTCAATTCCTAAATTGTATAAAAATTGTTCAACATTGTTGACATGTTTTCTCGTATACATCAACTTTATTTCAATGTTTTCAATTTCGATCGATCAAAGCGTAAATATTCAAACAACGATACGAGTTAATGTTTTCTTCGTATTTATTTTATTAAAAAAAAAAAAAACAAACAAACATTGTTGCATTATTTGTTGAAATTCTGCTTTAAAAAGTATTAGAAATTGTGTTTTATTGAGAGAACGCAACGATCGATTATTAATTAGCTCATTCAATATTTAATTTCATTCATAATGCGTATAAGAATGTGTGTTAACGATGCACGAGTTATTTTACAAAATATTTTCTTATTTCTTCCATAACATCGTGTTTTTTAATCATGTTAATTAATCGGGTCTCGTATATCTTATTATATTTTTTCTCTTCTCTCCGAAATGCATTCTTTTTCGCATCTTATCTCTTTATCTTTCTTTTTCTTTTTGTTTTTTTTTCTTGTCTGTTTTTTTCTTCTTTTTATCATCTTTACGGCTGTAATATATTACAAGTTCTTACATTTTTCTTGTCGACGTCGGTTCTTACATTCTTTCTTATTCGCTACATCAACATTCGTTAACTTGTACTTTCTCTGACACTTGCCTGTTGAATATTTTAAAGGAACTCTGATATTATCGTACTAGTTGATTTAATACAGAGTGGTCCACAAGTGCCGGGGTGAATCAAAAAGTGCTTAGATCATTTTCAAAATCGATTAACATTTTTCAATACTTTCATTTGACTTGCAGCTATACAATTTTACAATAAAATTAATCTAAACGGCTCCAAAACAGAGAAAAAGATTTTGATAACAAACTTTTGAATCAACCTGTAGAATAATCTTTTCATCTTTTTTCTTTTTTTTTAGATAATAGATAAAATTTGTAAGATAGATCGTTCATTTTAAATGCGAGAGAGGTACTTTACTGTTCGATCATAGTCAAAATCATTTGTTAGTTTCTTATTAAACGTAAATACGGACACCTACGGCCACGGTTCTTCCGCTATTAAGGACTTGTCGTAGGAAGAAAATTGCAAATTCTTTTTCTCGGATAGTTTATCTTCTGCAAGTGAATACTGGTTGGTGTCGGGAGCAAACTCGATCCTGCGGAGCGAGGATAAGCCGCTTTTTGGGTTGGAACTCCCTGGCCGTATATTTAGCTCTCACTTGTCAAGTTTCTTTTCTTCGTGAAAAGAGGAATTCTTTACTTACACATGAAACCTTAGATAAATAAATGTATATTCTAGCGCGTTGCTTAAAATACTATAATCTTTTCTTACTTTTAGTGTCAGGTTTCTTCTTCAATTTTTTTCTTTTATTATTTTTCCTTTTCTTTTTCATAGCAATTTGTTTTCTAATTAAAGTATGCAAAGATATGATCAAATGTGTACTTTATCATGCAATTATATTACAATCCAACGTAGGTATAAACGTGCTAAAAACAATGACAGAAACAAACATTAGAACAAAAAACAAAGGAAGAAGGTATGTTGAACATTTCTAATGAGAAATTTTCTTTAGTTAGTGAAAAATAATTTTCTATTCGTCGAGAGGACGGACGATGGCTATCATGTAACTAACCCATACCATTAAAAAGTTCGTCAGTGTCGTGTCTTTAACCACGGTCCCCTCAATTCAAGAGAGGTGGAGTAGAACTGAGGACCATCCCTTTATCTATGTCTCTCTCTCTCTCTCTCTTTTTTTCCCTCTTCCTCTCTCTCTTTCTCTTTCTCACTTCCTTCAGCCTCTTATCCTTTTGAAGTCGACCGGGCTCTTTTCCCGGTTGTGTTACTCACACATATACTTTTTTTCTCTCTTTCGCCATTCTCCGACGAGGTTCACCCTCGGTTACAGTTTCTCCGCATAAAAGTATTTTCCATTCTGGTTTCCATCCCTACTTCCCTTCTACCCTCCCCCTCTCTTGTCCACACCTTTCTCTTTTATTCGTGTGTCCGCAGAACGATACCTATAGGTGAATATTATAAGAGAGAAAGATAGATAGAGAGAGAAAGAGAGAGAGAGAGAGAAAGAGGATACAATCGTTGAAAAGTGGTTGGTTCGTACAGAGAGGACATTTAAAATCTTGTGGTCGGCGTAACCACGGTGTTTCGAGAATACGTTAAATATTTTATAATTGTATGTAACTTTTAATTCGTGGCATTCAATTTAATATTATTATCTGGATTTCGTGCGTTGTATACATTTAAATATTAAATAAATTTGGTATTACTATAATTTTCATTGTTTCATCTCGTATTTTCCGTAGAGATGAAAATAAATGTAAATTGAATTACGTAGAATTAAGAGCAGATTGTTTAAAATTTCATTAAAATCACAAAAAGGGGAATGATTATGTTAATAGATAAATTTGTATTCTCCTTTTCAACTTGATTCTCTTTTTTTTCTTATCTTTTTAATTATTAACATTCAAAAGAGATATGTAGATAGAGAGTAGAAAAGAATAGCTTCGGTTAAAAGAATTTCATTATCGTGATTACCTCGAAACGTTTAAACTTTGATTACCTTTTTTTGACTTAAACGTTAACTCGTGTGAAAACTAGACAGTTGCCGGGAGCAGATTTTTTTTCTTTCCTTCTTTCTTTTTCCTTTTTCTTTTTTTTTTTTTTTTAACAGTCAGCTTAAGTGTCCACCCACCAAAAAGTGTACATCGAGTTTGAACTCTTTCTCTCTCGCTTTTCTATATAACAGAAAAGTGCTTTACCTATTGGTCTTTTTTTCTCGACTTCAAAAGTCAATTAAAACATTCGTTCTTTTAACAGGTTCCTACCTAGAGGCGTATCCGTCTCGACACACGATCCTACTCTATCTTTGGTTCAAACGATATCATTTTCTCTATCTTTGGTACAAACGATATCCTTCTCGGGAATTACGTTCTAATCGTTTATCGAGAACTTTCATGCTTTTCATCTTGGAAAGAAATAAAGAAAGAAAAAAGATATTTCTACTATCGAGATTTATCGAGTTTAACACACTTGAAGATGTATCGATGGTATATGAATCTTTCGACTTTCTTTCCGCGGGTAATAAAACTTAAATAATAGAACTCTTTCTTTTTCTCTCTCTCTTTCTTTTCGATAAGTAATAAAATTTGTGATTGTAGAGTAATCGCGATAGTATCGAACGATCTTACATTCTTTTTCTTCTCTCATTTTATATTTTTTCGAGATCAATATAGCAAAGAAATAACGATAATAATTGTGCAGTATGTTAGAAAGTTGTAACCAATTAATAGAACTGTAATAGAAGTTATTAACTTTGTCACGTTCAAAGTATCCATATTTTAAAATGGATGTATACATTATTCCACGATCGATATGTGCAGAGTATATTTACTATGATCGCGATACGAGTTTTCTAGCGTATTTTTCGAAATACTCGAGAGTCCTCTCTCTCTTTCTCTCTTTTTTTTCATAGAGGAGAGAGAAAAAAAAGCAGAGGGTTAGCAAATCGGTAGCCACAGATCCGAGGGAAATATCTGGCTGGCGTGTTCTCGAAAGGCTCGGTTTCACCGCTTGAATCATACGATGCATAGGATAGAAAAGTAGCTTGAATGTGTAACAGTATGTTCTCTGTGTACTGACCAACTCCGAGAAGTGCTGCTTGGCAGAGATATTGCCTGGACACCAAGCACTGAGCAGATGGTCTAGCTGTAACTACCCCCCATGCCGCGCATCCTAGTGCTGCTGCCAAACCCAAGCAGGTCTGTAGTAATACCAACGAACTTGCTTCCAGACCGTCTTGATATCCTTGCAATGCCTGAAAGTGAAGTTTCTCATTAAGCATCCTTCTGCATCTTACAAATCTCTTTCCCCCTTACTTCACTCCCTCCCCAACCCCACTCCTCTCTTTCAATCTTTCCTTCATCTTTCTTCCACCCCTTAAATTCCCTGGAACCGATCGCGTCGAGACAATTTTTTCCTTTTTTTCTTTTTTTTCCTTTCTCTTTCTTTCTTTTTTCTCTCTTCGACAAGAGAATACAGAACAAAAAAAGAAAAAAAAAAGAAAAAAATGAATAAAGAGAAAAGAAGTTTCGTTCTAGCGATGCAAATCTTATAATTAAGCTTCTCGTTAGCTAACGAGCCCCTTTTCCGATCTTCTTTCCTTTTTTAGTTCTCATTGTCAGATAAAAGAAATTGCGTGGAATCGGATTTAACACTCGGTTAGACACCCTAACGAGATATTGTTAACTATGAGAATCATTTAGTTCCAAGATTATTTATTATTTCTTTAATCATGATCTATAATTGATTATTGCTTCTACAATCTTTGTGATTACGTTTATTTTAGATTCGAAGTTTGATTCGCTTCAACATTTTATTATTTAACGTGTCATATAAACGTGCCGATAAATTATTTATACACTTTTTTCTTTTTTGTAAGTTTAAAATTGACTTACTATGTAAAAGGCTGGAGTGTAAAGTCCAAAACCAGCTGCTCCAGCTGCCAACATCAACATTCTGACTGGTCTACTTCCTAAAGGACTGAGATCAACCAATGGTTGAGTTGGTACCTTCGTTGCTGATTTTTTTTCTTTCACTTTGGTACGTTGATTTTTGAGATGCAATATGGCTCTACGTTGAGGATGGTAAAGAGAAGCACTCCTATAAATCAGACCAAGGAAAAAGGCCAAGAAGAGTGCTCCTGTAACCGCCTGCAATCCTAATCTCCAGCCTAGCTTTCTGAAAAGACAATGACGTTATTAATCCATATTTTATACAATCTGCTACCTAAGTAACTATTTCTAACATGAAGATTACATCTTTCTTTGTTCTTATCTTACAATAAACTCCTGAACTTTTCTAATTATTATCTATTTAAGTATTTTTCTTTTTTTTTTTTGAAAATGTCTGCGTCCTTTGATGGATCGGACGTTTCTTTGTCTTTGAACTTTAATCTCGTTTGTTATAAATTGATATGGTTTTACAAGAAAGAGGGTTATTTGTAACTTAGCAAAGCAGAAAATGGAAAAAATAAGCGTAAAACATAGAAAGGAAGAGAAATGAAATTGCGAGAAAGGAAATGTGTGTATGTATTTTGGTATATTATAATGCATTGTTGTATGTAGTACCTCGTTCGTAACATTCCTAAAATTTCCTAGACAAAGAAAGACCTTGAATCCTTTACGCTTTTGTCTTACAATGAAAGCAACTTTAAAACTTTATATACGATAGAACGGGGTAGTTCGCGTTTATACTAGAAATAGAAAAAAAAAAAACTTATTTCTTTCTTTTTTTCTTTTTATTTTATCCTTTTTAACCACCGTCGTCTTTCTTTGTCTGGTTACGCTTGAGGGTGATAAATGCGAGAACAGAAAATACGTGAATAATTCACGTTAATAGTTGAAGCGTAAGATTATTAATAATAAAGTTCCACATTGGCAGAATAATTACGCCGATTTGAAAGCTTGGATATTAAAAAGAAAGAAACTACGCGTTGAAGGTTTTTTTTTATTTTAAATTTCGAGTGATCGTTATATATGAATTTCAGTTTTATTCCTTTATTTTATTTTGTAATTTTTTTTTTCTCTCTCTCTTTTTATATACTGAATCAAATATAAGGACGAATTTTCATGTTTTACGTAGAATGAGATCGGCTCGATGGCTCTTCAACTACTTTCCGATAAAAACATTGAAAGGCGAAGAACTTTACGATAGTCAAGGACGAAACCTTTTCAGAGATTTTTAGCTTGAATTTCTCTCTATTTCTTTTTTTAACTTATTCACTCGCTCACTCACTCTTTCACTGTACTGCTACAGTAACACGAATAGAGATATAAAAGTGCGTGGGAGTAAACGTATCTCCTGTATCCCGTCTAGTTAAATTTACTATGTGAACGAGTAAGTGTTGAGCTGATGCTGGGAGAATAGTAGCAATGGTAGTAGTAGCAATAGTAGTAGTAGTGATCCCAGTAATAGTAGTGGGCGTAAAGAAGCGTACGGTCGAGTGATATATTTCACAAAATAAAAATAAAAAAGGAAAGAAGAATAAAAAATAGAAAGAAAAAGGGGAAAGGAGAGGAGAAAAAAAAATCACGCGTAGGTGTTTCCTCGGTAACGACAAAGCGTGGGCGTGCAACTGCATTTTCATTCAAAGCTAGCAGGTACACGTGTGCCACCCCTGGAAAAGAACGATTCAATACACACATACACACACACAGAGGATACCACATAGATATACGATAGTGTATATATGCACAAACAACGATCGAAGCTTTCTAATCCCTGGCCTAAATTTCTCCCACGTAATTTCACATTAATCTCTGCCGGGTGAGTCCTCTAGGTTCCCCTTCGTTGCCACTTTCTTTCTCTATCACACCCCCATTTTCCTTCGCCATCTTCTCATTTTCTTACCATAATATTCATCGCTTATCTCTAGCCAAGGATATCGTTGGAAAATTACCACCCTTTAACGCACCACCTCCTAGAAATCAGCTTAACGTGAGAACCTTTCTACACCCTAACCCTCGATTCTCCCTCGACCCTCCCTCGATCCTCCCTCGATCCTCCCTCGATCCTCCCTCTCGTACTACCCTCTCGTACTACCCTCTCTATTTCATTCCTTTATATTTAATCAACCGTTAGTTGCTCTTCGACTCGTCTTAATCCACCGCATCTGTTCAACTTTCTATTAATCCTCTTCATATATAACCACACACAGACACATACTCACACACATTTATATATATATATATAAATGTATAAATGCAATTGTACGTATTTCGATTCACTTTTAAACGTTGGGAAATTTCGACGAAACATAGGCGTACCGAAAAAAGAGAAAGAGACCGTGAGTAATCCTATCTACCAGCCCTTCTCTTTCCACTCTTTACAATCAATTTGATCGTAAATCGTGCGAATCGATCCGAAATATATCTATCTATCTCTCCTTCTTTCTTTTTCTTTCTTTTCTTTCTTGTTCTCTGTTGTTCACGTATCATCGACGATATAAATATAAAAAATAATACCAGTTGTGTTTTTTTTTTTCTATTTTTTCAACGATCGTATTACGTCCATCGGAGTTTTGGAAGAAATTCAGAAGCTTAATCTAGGTAACACAACCGCATTGCAGTAATATCGCGAGACGACACTGAATTTAACAGGAATATAGTATCAAGAGAGAATAGAAGAGAAAGAGAGAGAGAGAGAGAGAGAGAGAGAGAGAGAGAGAGGGGAAGAAAGAAAAAGCTTATAAAAATCAAAGGTTTAAGTTTCAACTTAACCGTGCTTTTATACTACAGACAATGGAACTCTAATGGAATTTAGAGTTTTATTCGAGAATGAAAAATAATATCAGTTGATTCCTCGATTAAAAATTCAATAAAAATCCTGTGATTATGACACGCTTACAATTCTTTGCATTTTTTATTTTTATTCACTCATTTTCTCTCTCTCTCTCTCTCTCTCTCTCTCTCTCTCTCTCTCCCTCTCTCTCTCTCTCTGCCTATCATTTTTAATTATTTTTTTTTGAATGAAAATTAGAAAAAATAGTTCATTCATGAATTAAAACAGTGATAACGAATCCACGTAAATGATGACGTTTATCATCCCTCGTACAACATAAGTTACAACTTTTTTTTCTATTTTTGAAATGTCTCTAGTGTGTGTTTCCTTTGTCTTTTCTCGAGGGATTCGATCGCGATAACCATTGTTAAGATCCACGAACGTTATTCTAGTAATTACACGGTTCTAATCTCCGGATGAAACGGACATTGGCCGATTTTCTTTTTCTAAACGAATCATTGACCTAGTATGACATCGACAAACGATGTTATTTTTGCTCCCTAGTCTTTTCTCAATTGATTTCCTCTCTTTCTTTCTTTTTTTCTCTTTCTCTCTTGTTTTGTAGATAACAAACCTTTTTTTTGTACCTACCCTACATTTCTTTTTCTTTTCTACCTTTCATCCTATCTCTTGAAATTAAAGGAGAGTAGATTTGAGATATATGTACGTGAATGAATGAATGACGCGTGGATTATAAAAGGAGTTTGCTTTACCTTAATGCAAGACTCAAAGTAAAATAATTTTAAAAGAACCAGCGGTGCGTTTGGCTTTATGGGATTTTTTCGAAAAATTTTAATTCAAGGGTCCCGCGTAAAGCGTTGAGTTTGATTTTTGGGAGCAAAAATTCCAAGTTAAATAATAGTAATTTGTTTTTGCGTGTTTTAGTCCTCTCTATTTACTCCCTCTCCCCCCTCCCCTTCTCCCCCGTTTTGATAAGGGCTTCAGGCAATTATTCTTTTTGTTCTTAGGATTACGCGCAAGGGATTGAAATAAGCCGAAAGTTTGTTTTATTGACATAAATCAAAATAAGTAAAAATAAATTGCCTTTACGATTGTTAAAAAAGATCAAAAGCAGAGCATGGAATGTTGAATTATTTGATCTCGAATTTATCTCTTGTTTTTTATATTCATATACCTTGAAAAGGTTACGGTACATATATCGCTGACACGGTCGTGTGAAAATGTACAATAAAACGGAGACACGTAGAGAGAAAGAGAGAGAGAGAGAGAGAAGAATTGTTTTCTCTCTCTTTCTCTATCTGCCTGTTATATTCATGTTCTACGTTCAGATTTAGGTGCATTTCGACGTTTGCAATTTGTTTCGAGTAGTTCGTTGCGCGCTTTGATGATTTTTGTTTCAAACAAGTAATTACTTTTGTCTGTATTTGAATGAAATTATTACGTATAAACATATATATGGCAACTTTGATCAATTCTATTCATCGAATGGGATTTGAGAGTTGTATGTATATATTTTTTCCAAATTTTTAAAAAGCTAATTATCAGATCGACCACATTTCCATCGAACTATTTTAATAACCATTGGGGAAAAAAACAAACATCTGTTGGGAAACAAAGCTTCTCTACTCTTATACCAATCTCCGATTTCTAGTTATTTTTAAATAGGTCATAGATTATCCCTTTTCTTTTTTTGCGATACATATGCACGCGAAAAAAGCAAAAAAAGTAATAAATGAAGGAAAGTTGGATTATTGGATGAATACATGATAACAATGTAGTCTTTTAAATCGATATTGATTGTTTGTTTCACTGCGAGTGATTTTATTCGATTTTAATACCGTCACTTATTCGATACTATTTAACATGTCTGATAGGCAATTTCCGGACGAAACTAGCCTAATAGTGTACTGGTAAACACTACGAGATTCTCTGACCTCTCTTCTATCTGTTTAATATACATATACATGTACATATGCACTTGCACATGCTTGCAGTATTATCCCTTAAGTAGTTGATAGAATCGTTAGGATTCTAATAATTATCGGAAAATTTTTCAAACGATCGCAAAACAATGAAAATTACTTTTAAATGAAGATTAATCGATGATATATAATTGGACAAAGTTATGCAGTAACTTGACAACACTCTTATAATTACTAAACAATTAGCTAATGGAACTCGTTATTTTACCTTCGCTCTATAAAAAATTAATCAACCCATGGAACAACAAGAAATAAAATATAACCGAATAAAAATGGAAGTTTCAAACATTATTGTTGTCTGCATAATTTAATCAAAAATTTTAGATTGAAATTTTAAAACGTTCTGTAAAATAATATTGAAATTTATTGAACGAATAGAATGTAGAATGAAAAAAAGATATGAAAATTTCACTTGCCCGAGGAAAGAGAATGAAAAATTCAATTTAGCGAGATATGCGTTTTGATGGTTTGTAAAAAGAAACGTTATGTAAAATAAATTTCCTATTAATTAGATTTGATAATTCGAATGAATATAATTAAAAATAATATTTCCTTATACGTAAAGGTAAAGGAATCTAATTTTGTAAGATCGCGCAAGGTGGTTCTAAGATGACGCGTAATAGCGAACGTAACTCATCTTAATTGAATATTTTTATCGGACATATTATCATAGTTGTACGTGTAGAGAGGGGTTATAATATACGTAATAACTTACCCAACCGCTTCCTTGTAAAATACGCTGAAGAGGGCAATTCCCACCCCCGTGCCAGCTTGCACCACCATCTCAACGAACTCTCGTCGTCTTCTAAAGTAATGGCCGAGTACCAAACCAGCAGTCTCTCTCACCAAACCGGCCCCTGTCCCTAAGACCAACCCGTAGCTATCGGGTTGTAAAAAAAAAACACACAGACACATATGTAGCTATACTTAAATATACTTCCATTAATTTAGGCTTTTTCGTACATCTGCCGGTCGCGTTACGCTGTAATAATAATTATTTTATCGTACAAAGAACCAATTATTTCCTTTCTTTCTTTATTTCTTTTTTTCTTTGTCCAACTTACAATTAGTTTATTACAACTCAGGTTTCCTTGCTTTTCTTTTCTTTTTATTGTGTAATTCGCGTTAAATCTAATTAAGAAAATGTCTCGGTAGAGGAAAATGATTAAAAACTTTCGTTATTGTAACGTCGATAATCTTTGGTAAAAGCTTCTTACAAAGATCGTTAAAAGGAATGCCGTGCTTTGTCATAATGATTCCTCACTCGTATAAGACAGAAAGATCCTAGAAAACTTTTTATGAGTCTCAAACAGACTGTTTGTAATATCTTTACATTGTTGAACGTCTTCTGAAGTATCATCGTAACAAAAGATTCGAGAGAGATACTTATACTACAAGACACTTATATACTATTATAAAAATCGTCATTAATTTTTATTATCTTTTCATCTTGAATATAAAAATACTTAAATACGGTAGAATATAATGAAATTTCCATAGCTTTTATTAGACACTGATTTCCCGTGTGATGTTAATTGTGCAACGAATATAATTGCGAATGAATTTTTTTACATCCTTTCGTTATTATCGACCCATATAGAAGTCGTAAAAAAACCAAAACGCATTGGTCACGTTTTTGTTAAATAAATGAAACAGAGGATAGACATTTTTGTGTAAATAATATTTCGGAAGTTTAAATACATACCTCAAAAGAACCTGATGCATTTGTAGGGCAAAGGAAGTAAAAAGCGAAGCTAATGCCAATACAAGGCCACCAATGACAGCGGTGAGCCGTGTACTTCCACGACGACACGCGCCGACAACCAATGGAGCAGAACCACGTGAAACCGCAGCACTTAAAGCTCCTGCCCAGGCTGAAACATTTATTCCATTGTTAGTACAAGCCACTCTTACGTTTTCTCTCCCATCTACCTTTAACTATTATTATTATCGAGAAATACGTTTAACGAGCATTACAATTATTTATACTTTAGTCTCGTTAGAAATTGAAACAATTTTTCATTAATATCCAGCGTAAATTAATTCCCTACGTAAATGGACCGAAAGTTTTTCCACGATTTTACGAATCGGTTAATGGTTTTATTTGTTTTCTTCTGTTTGTTTTCAAGACACTTCAATCTACCCTTTTTTCTTTTTTTTGGTAAATTATAAAACTACAAGATTTAGAAACTTTTGGCTCACCCCCGTATGCCTCGGCATCTTGGAATTTGTTTCGTGTTAATGAGATAATAAAGAAAAGAAAAAAAGAAATAGGAATCGCTGGTTCTTCGTTGCCAACTTTTCGGTGAACTTTCTTCCATCGTTAGCAGTTTATTTTATCCGAGCTAGAATAACGGTGTTGTCCAATGTTTTTTTCTTTTTCTCTTATCTCTTTGCGTAAAAATAATGTAACGAGCTTTGGGTTCCTTATTATTCAAAGTGTGTTGTGTCGTTTCAGAGGGGGAAAGAGAAAGAGAAAGAGAAAGAGAGAGAGAAAGAGAGAGAGAGAGAGAGAGAGAGAGAGAGGGAGAGAGAGAGAGAGAGAGAGAGAGAGAGAGAGTGTGAGAGAGAGAGAGAAAGAGAGAAAGAGAGAGAAAAAGAGAGAAAGAGTTAGACTTATCAGCAGATTCTCTTCTTCTTTTCGATAAAATAAAACACAGCCTCTGTTGTTCCTTTCATTTGGTATTATCACGTTGTTTTAAAAAAAGACGTTATCAACATATTTTATTATTTCTATAAAAAATAGAGAAAGAATTGTCGAGAAAATATAAACCAACAAAATTAGAAATAAAATGATTCTTACCTGGATAAAATTATAACCTAGAGAATCGCGTAGGTAGGATTATAATATAAGGTTGACAAAACGATTGTAAAATTGTTTTTGTTATCTTTGAAAACAAACACACACATACACACACATACACCCATAGATAGATACTCGCGTAGAGATAAAGGATGAGGTCATAGAAAAAAGTTAATTGAATCTTTTGAAGTTCAAAGAGTTTCTTTCCATGGGTGGACGAGTACTAAAACGTATGTACGCTTTTGTTGCGTATCTCCTTTGACCTATGCAAAATATCCTCTTTTTTATCATCCGTATAGGTTATTGAATGTTAATTAGATTAAAGAAAGGAAAAGAAAAACTAATAAAAGCAGAAAATATGAATACGCGTATCAACCTGCGAACCTTTAAAAGGAATGCGAAAGAGTAGAATAAAAAATGTACAGGACAAATAACACTAGTCAACAAATGTTTTTTCTCTTTTTCTCTTTGTAATTGGTTTGAACTATAATTATATTCCCTAATTTTGAAGTTTTCAACTCAATGAAGGAAACTGTTTTAATCCAAAAACTAATTATCGATTTTTTACAAATTCCAGAATGGCATTATCCTTTAATAAAAAATTCAAAAATGTAAATTACTTAAAAACTTAACGTGTTAGGACATTTTATAAATCAGATTCGTATCGTATGCACGAAACAACGTAATAATTGATATATAACACGTAAATTAAAAAATGATTGTTAACAAGTGTAATTCTTTCATCCGAAAGATATCAAAATTTCAGAAATAGAAAGTTACAATTTGTGATATTAACGAAAAAAGAGAAAGTTGTATAGAAAAACGAAAAAGAAGAGGAAGTGGAAGTGAAAGGGAAAGAGAAAGAGGGGGAAGGAAATCACGAAAGGAAAGCTCAAAGAATACGCGATCAGTGTTAGCAGGTGGGAAGTGTAAGGAGGGGTGGGTTGTCCTTTAGCGTTGAATAAACACGTAAAAGAGAGGTGTAAAACCAGTGGACGGTTTTCTCCGCGTCTTTTTCTTCTTAGGAATAGACTCGAGAATGATTTTTTCAAGCTGTTGAAAGGTCGCTCGATAGGAGAGAAGAAGAACCTTTTGGGCTCACGCTCACTCGTAGTTGGAGTAGAGCCCTTAATAAGCTCCGCGTATCTACCGGAGGGCGAGTACATAATACATGCGTACACGTGTCCCTTTTTTTATTTTCCTTTTACAAAAAGAAACTAAGAGAGCTTGAGGTGGGAATAGGAAAAAAAAAAGAAAAGTCACTGTGAGAGAGAGAGTGAGTGAGAAAGAAGGAAAAGACAAACGTATAGGAATTAATATTTTATCTTTTGACCAATATCGTTGAATTCTCAAAGTTCAACATATTATTCTCACGAAAAAGAGCAAAAGCAAGTTCCCAGGCTCCTCCTAGTGAGAGAACGAGAGAGAAAGAGAGAAAGAGAGAAAGATTTAAAGGAAAGAAAGAGTACGTACTTCTGTGTGAGAGAACACAATTTTTACATTATTCATAGGAAGAAGGTAAGAGAAGAGAAACGAACGACGTTATTTCACCTACCTGTCTTTCTCTCTCTCTCTCTCTCTCTCTTCTCTTCTGTTTTGTTTTTATTTTTTACTCCTTTCATCCTCTTCCTTTTCTTCCCACGTTCTTGACTTTTTGCCAAGAGATTCTCATGTAAAAATAAATATAATAAAAATAGATATATATCTAACGATAATTTGAACCGTCCGGTAATAGTTTTTCCCTATCGATTTCTAACGATTTCAATTTGGTCCATTTGTGATACAAGATAACATTCTTTTTCGGTAATTTAGATCAAAATACATGCTATCCGATTTTATTGAACTTTATCTTTCCTTTTTCCGTTCAATCTCTCTTCTTATTTTTATTTTCCAAGACTTTTTCTTGACGGTTGGTTGTGCTGCGGTTTTCTAGATCGGTACATATCTATGCGTTTTTTCTTCTTCTACTTCTACTTTTACTTCTTCTTCTTCTTCTCAAGTACTCAACTTTTATAGTAGAGAACTGCTTTGAAATTCTTTAACGTGATTCCTCTCCTTTCATTCTCTTTCTCTCTTTCTCCCTCTTTTTCTTACTTTGCACTTTTTCGAAAATTGAATGGTTAAAAGTTGAAATCTTTTGCTTGAGACTAGCACGGAATAAGAATGTAAACTAATGAGAACAAACTCGAGAATGGGATGAGAGGACACGGTAGTAGTAGTAGTAGTATACTTTCAAATACACAAGTTAGATTGTGTTAATTTAATCGTTAACACGATTTTACGTGGTTTTTTTTTGGTTCGTTTAAATCGAACTAACAAAATCGAGGATTCTTCTGATCGTCGTTGATTCCTTCAAAATTCATTCGTATAAATTAATTATCATTTTTTTTTCTTTTTTTTTTTTGTTTAAGTAACAGATAGACAAAAAAAAACTGGAGAATGAGTAAGAGAAAAGTATAGGATGTTGAAGAATAAAGGAGGAGATAAAAGATTATTAACCGTTAAAGTTTATTCATAAATAATTAGCTTGTTAAAGAAAAGTCGACGTTATTACGGTCTGCCGAACGAGTCGAATTTTTAATCAGGCTTGAAAGCATAAAGGTTCGTTCAATTATGGCCGACGTGGCAAAAAGAGAGACAGAGAAAGACAGAGAAAGACAGAGAGAGAGAGAGAGAGAGAGAGAGAGAGAGAGAGAGAGAGAGA